ACGTTTCGGCGCCACGGGGACGCAACGGCCGTGCCAGATATATTTCGTTGCTGCTGCCAATTCTTTTTCATTTTGATTTGCATTATTCTGTTTCTGTGCTACTGGACCGCAGTAGAAACAAGCCAGAAGGTCCGAATACGGCCCGTTTGCCTGGGAGCTGGGTGCGGACGCGTGGGGCGTTGGCCGATAATGGTGACAGGGTCGCGGCTTACGGTGTTTTGCTGTGCCTGCCGGTTTCTGGTCCCCGTTGAGACTAGCTGAGAGGCCCTACGGAATGTTGTTTTGCCCTGGTTAGAGAAGTCGTGCGAAGGGTTCCCTCGTGCTGTTACAAATCACCGCCAGGTTGCCCAACGTGCCAGAAAAAGGGGCCTCGGTGGAACAAGCCGTGCGGGGAAGTGGGCCGGTGAACAGGGTCTCCACAAGCCTCCATGCGAGAACATTCAGGCGTTGATTCTAGCATTGTCATCCTTTGCACTCAGATATCGCGGGGGAATGCGCCCAGCACATGTTATTTTCTCGCCTTTTTTCGGGAGGAAGCTGGGCTTTTCCCCTCAACAGCGCAAGCCACGCTGCGTGAGGTGGGATGACTGCTGTACCCCGCAATTTGAAGTCCACGAGCAAGGGCTTCTTCAATAATGGGAGGTATAGCACGAGGAAGCGCCTCCATTTCCACGTGTATAATTGTTCAAGTGGTTAGCAATGACACTAAATATCCCTGTGCTGCGGGTGATGGCACGGTTTGGTGCATACAGGAATGCAGGAATATGCTGCAGCATCCGTCACCAAAGGTCAACCCAGGTTTCCCAACATATTTTACAACTATCTATAGATATAATCAGAGAGAAATTGGATACGGGATGCTGTATAAGCTACACTCCCTGGGTTTGGGCTCTTGACCAACTCTCCTGGGATGCGTGATTTCTCGTAAACAGGTAAATTACCCTAACCTTAGGAATAGAATAGCCAGTCAGAGTCTTCTTAACTCGTATACGCTCAAAATCAGTCCTAGTCAGCTCGCTAGTTTGCCTTATAACATATATCAGTATATCAGTATATATCAGTATATCAGTATATCAGTATATCAGTCCTGTTGAAGTAATCAAATTCAGCCTTTTGCCATTTCGATCCAGAGTACATTGCTTAGCAAGTGCAAAAGTAGGAATTAACTCCCACTGGCTATTTAATCCAACTATGTAACCGAGATTCCTGGAATATATCCCATGGTGACTCCTTTATCTCATTTCCAGGTATCCATGCCCTTGTTCGCAAAAGATACTGTTCAAACTTGCATTATCAAGGTGAATATCATGGCATTGGTTTTAACACCCACAGAGTCAGTAATCCATATCGTCATCTCCCATTTGCGGCTTGCACACATTCCTCACGTCCCGTTTGGCTAGACTTGTTACCGCTACTATTCGAATAAATGTTGGGATTTGCTGAATAAAAGTTGTTCTTTCGTATTTATAATTCTGTTTCCCTCAGTCTCTTGAAGAATTAGTGCTGCTACTACACCGTGTCCCGATAGTATTATCATAGAAGTTTCCATTTTCGATTCTCCCCATTTACTCTTCTCATCCTTTGGTGTTTTACTTCTATACTTACATCCTGTGGGTTCTCTGCAGGCTGTGGTTATCCTGTTTATATTTCTTTTCCTGACACGACCACCTAGCTAGTTTGGTACAACTTGTAGAGTGAGGTTTTATTATTAAAAGTTTTCATCTATTGCTTGGTTGTCAATGTCTTGTTGCTCTATTAATTCAATATATTAACTGGCTTCATCTCTTTTGCTTCTGCATATTTTCTCTACTCCTAGTATCCGTTGCTATGGGTAAATGATACAGGATCAAATACCCCCGCGGTGCCTTTTCTCCTCTGGAGAAGGTAAAGGGTTAATCTCCTTAAGTATGCCTTTGTTGCTGTCATTACGGCCAAGAGAAGTATGGTTTCTTTGACTAGATGACGTTTATAAACCAACTGTTACGTTTACCGGGTATTACCCTTGCCTGTGTTACGGCCTCCTATTTACTCTCTAGCAATGACCACTCTAGCTCCAAAAAAGAAATCGTACTTCGACCTTTAGAAACTCGTGGTCTAATGCTTCTTGGATGAATACCCCTAAAATTATATTCTCCGCTTCATCTAAACTCTGCCCTATGCTCTACTACTTATCCCTCCTAGCGACAATATATATCACCAACATAAACAGAACGAAAAATAAACTTGCTAAATCACTTCTATTGGCTTTCGTCTATAATAGACACAACCCCTTCGTGCTCGTCACCATCACCTCAATATTATTTCAATGGTTTATTGAACTGATTGAAATCTACCGCACACTGCGACACTACTCTCCCCCTACCATGTAGATTCTGAGGCATGCTTTTAAACGATATTCTCAGCCAAAATGAGCTTGTTATGGCGCCCCACCTAAAGCCCCCAAGCAAGATAGAATCACATTATTTTGCCTATCTTATACCTAGTGATCTTCCATCGTAGACTACACCTATTTCTATTGTTTTACGGGTGTAAATTTCTCAGCAGCCAGCTAATGACTCCGAGAGAAAGCATCCAGGAACCATGATGGTCCGGCGATTGTGAGAAAGAAGCCTTGGTCAGCTGTCCTGACATGCCATATAGGCCTAGCCTGGATATTGTTTCTTTAGATCCCAAATTCCATGCCGTCTATGTATATTGTGGGGTTGGTCTATTTGATACAGTGAAAAACATACCCTCTCAACAGCTAAGGGTTATTTCCCAGATCAAAGACTCCGAGAATATATCCTCAGAGCAGGTGGATCGAACATGATGGGAATCAAAGCTAGAATTTACCCAGAGCCGTGCTATGAGCAATATTCTAGACCATGGAGAAATTGGAACGGTTGGAGTAGAAGTTACTGATATACTGATATACGTAAATATTTGCAACATGAGACGCAATTAGATTTGAACGGCCATAAGTTACTGCACTGAGAATCTTAAAAATAATTATTATTCGCAGAAAGGTTGATCAAGGAGCAATTTTCGGATGGGCCAGCGTCGAGTTTCTGAGGAAAAGCTACCCCGAGACGATCCCTCCTAGAATGTGTATTATTAAATGTCGAGGAGAACCCAAGGAAACTAGGTAAAATATCAAGAAATAATATTTCAACCCCCGCCGTTACATCCGTTATGAGCCGCTATCTGCTGTAGTAGGGCCTGGCTTCGAGTTTCAAAATACTTGCTTCGATCACTACTGAAACATACGAACGAATGGCTAGGAAAGGCTAAGGATGAATCTACTCATATGCGAATGAAATCTGTTACACATCACTAGTTTGATAAAATTTACAATACCGTCTCCTTCTCCTCCTGCTAGTTGGTTACGATGCTATATATAAACAAATTATAGACCACCCCTTTCGCCCAGACGGCTTTCACACAGCCCATTATGGCACTTGTTAACCCCTAGGCTGCTGATCTACTAGAACATCAATATTGCCTTGGCTATAACTACTATGGACCCCTCTGCCATTTTTGCTCCAGCGACTTTTATGCAGAAGGAGGAGAAGGAAGATGAAATATTACCAAATGCTCTAGAAGTAATAGAGCGCAGCCCGGTCGAATGACTACATATATTGCATGTTTTGTCGTTTTCATCCATCGATCCACTCAGGTCAGACAATTTGATCCGAATCACTCAGCTAGATCGACCCCCCCTGTCCTCTTTAACACAAAATCACATATTCTGATCCATAGAGGGTAGTCAGAGCTGAGGAAAGAAGCTAGATATGTGACTAGTGCGGATGTGAAGCCAAACAAACATTTTGCCCAACATCGATTTATACGAAGTGCGGAATATAAGGTTAACCCAGGTTGTTTTTGAGCTGTTACGGCCTTTGCCACTTGGAATTGAACATAGCTACTGGTAGATCTAGGCAGTGTATCGTACTAGATAGATCAAATGGTAAAAAGAAAACGCCTGTAGAATGAAGCACTTGCTATCATGATCAAACCAGAATAAGCCAAAGGAATAGTTTATTTGGATTTGAGTCACTGAAACACCCCTACTTCCCACCCTCTTGTCGCACTTCCCTACAGTATGAGACTGTACTTACAATTTGGAATGTCACCAAAAGTGACAGCTCTCTCGGCTTTGAATTGGGGCCCGGCGAGTGCTCGCCCTATGAGTACCATTCGGTCAGTATGATTTCCCGGGCCAAGATTGGTCAACAACCATGCAAAACACACCTGATGGGGTTTGTTTGGAATAAAGTAGAGAGGATGGAATACAACTGCGATGAATGATACGGGAATAACCCTCCGTCCGACAACAAACGAAATCCACAGTAGTAAATGTGCAAGAGAAGAGTATGGAGGTTTTAAGCAGAATTACATCAACCAAAGAAAGGGGAACTGAGCCAAGGAAAGTTTATTAAAACCAAGTCGAATTGTGGAGATATCTACCCATGGCGCTTCCAATACCGGTGGTACAACTTGTTCTAATGGTAGGCCGATTCTGGAGATTATTGCATTTTGAAACATATCCAAACCCTAGTTTAGGTACGCATTTCTCACCTTCTCGTATTGCCAGGGCGAGGCCAATTGCTGGGCTAATCAGGATGGATTGAGCCCAGTGGCCGATAATATTGGGGTTGAGACACCAAGGGGGAAAGCGTGTGTCGGTGGGTTGGTGTTAGCTCTCCCGTGGCGATGGGTTATTTGATATTGCTACACACTTTTCAAAACCCAGCGTCACGACACATCCTAGCTGTTCTGAGTTGTCAACCCGGCGAAGAGTGACATTTGCCAGTTTCTAATACATATATCATACATCGGCCCATTGCCCAACCAAAGCCCATAACTTTTGCTCTCCCGTCGTTATCCCATTATACGTGTTTCTTTTCATCACTAGTGATCAGAAATACAAAAAACAGCCCAGGAAACGCCTTGCAATGCTTGAAATCAAAGGCTCGTATAAATATGAGAGACATGTACAGTACTCCTTCTTGAGTAGCCCGCTACTTAGCGTGTGACACGATTTCAGCGTAGACATCGTCCGGGATTTTCTTGATTATGCTGAGTGTTACTTCAATGATGGTCTCAGCCTGTAACGGTGGGAAGGACCGTAGAATCTTCGTGGGACTTCGCAAGAGATTAGCAAGGATCGAGGGAGTCGAAAAGGAATAGAAGAATTTCATTATCCACCAACCTTGGAGAGCTCAAAATAGAATTTCGGATAATGACAAGCTGCGCAACGATACATAATATGTTTAGGTGAGCGCCATAGGCAAATAGGAAGTCCCAGAGACGTAGGACCTGAGGCAAGGGAGGCGTGCAGGCACACAAGGTTAGAACGGAGGGGAAAGCGTAGAGCTCTGCATTCATGCCTTTGCCTGTGAGGTATAGGCTGAGTTTCGGGTCCACGATGGCAAGAGCTTTATCTACCAGAGCAAGGCCCTTATGTACCCCATCCATCGCTCCCCGTACGTAGCCGGGACACTCGTTGGTGATGAAACGGTGAAACGCAACGAAAGCCTCCGCCTCACTACGAGCAGCATAGAGGAAGGGGGCGGCAAGAACATTCATTCCTTGGACGTATGTGCCTGGTTCAGACGCTCCCGTATCCGAACCTTCTGTTGTCAGGGTCAAGGCGCGGGCTCTTGACTTGACAGCGGCCGTTGACGATTGAAGCTCTGGGCTGCCATGCTGATTGGCCGTATGTGTGAGCTTACTGCCAGCCTTGGCCAGCGATTCAGCCCGCTCTTCCTTTGCATCGTGAAGCTTCCAGGCCACGGCGTTTAGAAGGCGGATTAGACTTGCTTCGCTCACGCGACGGCGGAACAGGGGATCAGTTGCCAAGGTTCGGAAGGTATCATTTCGAATCTTTGAATATGCGGGGGAAGCTCCCCGATGGATGAGGGCGAGATATGCATCGGTCTCGAGCACAGGAGCATTGAGGAAAACGAGCCAGACATAAATGCGCAAAGACGACTGTTATATTATTTTGTTAGCGTCTGGGTTGTATCATTGCGACGGATTTGGGTGGGTTCCTTATTACCATTCCATCTGTGTCACTCTTGATGCCCTGATCTAGGATCTTCAACCTCGCACTCTCCAATGCTCCAACGAGATCCCCATCGGGGGGACCGTCTCTGATCAGGCGGTCCAGGGAGAGGGCATCCGCGGCAATGGGCCTCTTCCCCAGCGCCAGCGCTGGACGGCGGGCAGCGGCGCCGGAATTTGGAGGGGTCATATTGGCGGCATCGCTGTTTGATCGCACTCGACTGTGATGCGGTGCGGGGGAGGGGTGATGGGAGAGGGCGTGGGCGTTGACCGCGGGCGAAAGGGTGCGCTGCAGCGCCTGCTTATGCTGCTGTGTGATGAGGGAGGGTTGGTAATTGTTATTCGACTGATGCGAGCCCAAGGCATGTGCGGATTGAAGGCGGCGCAGAGCTCGATGTGTTCGCGGGCTGGGAGGATCTTGGATGGGAGTCGTCAGGTGGGGGGCGAGTTTAGGAACAGACTCCTTGGTAGGTGAATTAGACATGGTTCTGCGGTGCCTGCTGCTGCTGCTGCGGCAGCTGCTTCATGTATTGGAGATAGAGCTGTTCAGAATTGATATATCTATCATTGACGTCTAGACTGAGCGAGATCCATTCTCAGCGGTGGGTGCGATGTGCGATGTGCGATGGTGCTGTGCGATGTTGTGCGACGCGTGTCCACGGTGTGTTTGGGACGCGACGTAGAGTGTTCGTACCGCTTTACTGGCTGTATACCTTAATTGCGACCATGGGATGCAAAGTATACATATAGCTGTACCTATACTTACCTGTACTTACCTGTGCTCCACGCCTACGCACATATCTATATTTAAGTACCTACCTAGGTATGTGCCTATATCTATCTCTAGGGAGCCTGGAATACCCTCAATCAGTTGCCAAAGTTGTCAAGGAGGATAGCATCACGTGATGTAAACAACCATCTAAAGAACACAAATCAGGTGAGGAGCGTGAGTTTCTCTGATGAAGAGGAGAAGCGATACTCGAAAATGACGCCATGGTAAGTCCACCATTAGGCCGTGTTCTTGCTGGACGAATAACAGAGGCAGATAAACCAATGTTCTTTTGTTCTTCAAGACCGAAACCACCATCATCAATCACATCACAATATTGATCTTTTCTTTTATTAAAGAATTGCATGCTGCATACCGTAAGGCGTTATTTGGCTCAGGCCCCGCAGCCATGTTTGGAAACGTGGTAGAGCGGGCTGCTTCGGAGAATGATGTGCTTTAGGGCGTTTTGGCCTGCAAATGGCATCATGGGCGGATTCATCAATTGGCTGAGACATGGCGTATGGGGGATAAGGTTGCTTATGTAAGGGGTCTTGGACGACCTTAAGGGGTTCACGTCACCCTGGGGGCCCGAAAAACTGGGAAGGGCATTGAAGGCAGCCACCAGGAAAGTTGAGGCAAGGTAGGCAACGCAGGCCGGGGCAGGCAGGGCATCTTGAAGCACCAAGGAGCATGTGGGCTCTACGGCGTACTCCGTATCAAGGCAACGAATTCGCATGCTTGGTGGCTCCTCGTAGATGCAGTTCTTGTAGACCCCCACCCCAAGGTACATACAGTCAGTAAGTTAGGTACAGTACTTAGCACTTCTATCAATATTATTTCTCCCAAATATACTCCCTCTCCTCGGGGCTATAGACCTACCTTGGGTATATAACGTGGCTGTTGGCGCGATGCCTATCCAGAACCAGAACCGAACTTGAACCCCCCATCCAGCTGGGTGTTTTTTTGTCTTTACTAATTATCAGCGCCATTGTGTGTCAAGCATGGTGGCTACATTCAAGCATCGTTCCAAGCTGCCAAGATGCTTAGGACCGATATTGGGTGGCAGGCTTTCAAACTGGCGCATGGCGTGCTCACGGGGTAGTCCGGACTCGGGACTCGAGCACCTACATACAGTACGTACTTGTCTCTTGTTATTAACATTCTCTGCTCTGTACAAAGCACGGTAGATACACCAATAATAACTACTCCGCATGCCAGAAAGAAGCATGGTCGTCGTCTACACTCCTGGTAGCCCCCCGGCTACGGGCTACTTCCCCATGTGCGCTGTACGCTGTACATCCTGTTGAAACACTCATTATTACTCCATACACTGTCCTCCAAAGGCGAGTGGTGTCCTGGCTGCCACGCCACGGCCCGCCACACCTCGCCTCGTGGGATGAACCCATGCGGATGGAGGTCGTGATCCCGCCCCGCCCCGCCCCGCTCCGCCGCTCCCTTTCTGCAGTGCAAGAGCTGCGAACTTCAACCGTCCTTTGTACCGTAAAAAGACCCCTGTCGGCGGCCACTGTGCCCTCTCATAAGAAGATCCTTCTACGGAGGGAGTACTCGAGTACTACTGTATGCCCTCGTCCTCCTTCTGTACGAAGCAGGTGCTTGTACAGCACAACGTCCACCGAGTACAGTACAGTACAGTACGTAGGTGGTGATCTGCTCAAAGTACTCACCTCTTCAGGCCCAAGTGTGATGGTTAGTCGGTAAATTGAGTGAGCAAGGAGGTGCGTACCGAGAGCACTCCCTCCCCATAGGACCATCTGGCATGCATACCTAGTAGGTTAAGGCACCTTGATTATTATTTAGCTATTACTACTGCATGGACTCTCTCCTTTTTGCTTCTTCTCCACGCCTGCTCGCCAGCAACTGTCGGACAAGGGCGCAACTGCAACTACTGTACCATAGAAACAGATCGGCTATCACCCATCAGCCGCCGTCGAAAGCACGCAATTATTGGTGGCGCTGATAAATCCGGCGACCCCCCCGCTAGCAGTCTGATGCCACAGCGCCACAATGCCACACCTCACATCGCGCCTTCTCGCTGGAGACGCTGGAGACTCGACGACTCGACGACTCGAGTACAGAGTAAAATCATACAGGATGGCTCTTGAGACTCTAGTTTGAGCCCCCCTCCTCCCTCCTCCCACCCACCCCCCCAATATTATTCCACCTCGGAGTTGCGCCTTAGAGCTTTGCTTTTGCGCTATGGATCCTGACGCCACAACTTGCAGACCCTTCAGGTTCTCTTCTTGGAGGCCCTCCGCGTGAACTGACGCCCGCTATCAATCTGCGGTGGCCGTGGCCGTGGCCTGTAAGAACTCCCACGTCCGTGGCGCCGGCGTCGTCTTCCTCCCTGGCGCTGCTCCTACGCATCCTGACGAGCAGAGTACAAATATATGAGCTCCGCCCGCCTCTTGAGCACCCCCCCAGAACTCCCTTGGTGTCTGCAGCTCACCTTGTCGCTTTTCCCTTTCCGGCAGTAGTGACCCCACCTGGTTCTCCTTCTGCAGCAGCCCCGTCGCGTCGTGTCTTGTGATATCGATAGACAATAGGTGTATATATATATATATATATATACATACGCATATCCCCAAGGCCATAGACCACCCCCCTTTGAACTGGATCAGGACACCTCTCTCGCCTTGTTCATCACCGGTGTCTTCCACCTCGACCTTCCCCTTCCCCTTCCCCCTCCCTCCCACGGCCCCCCGGGCGACACCGATTCGCAATGGCCGCCACCAAGGTCGGCCACGGGCTTGCCAAAGCCCTCGGGATCAAGCTGAACTACCGGGACGAGTTGAAAGAGGAGATCCGCCGTGGAGAGTCGGTGTTTTCGACCCAGACCGCAGGCGCATATGTCGAGGAGGAACCCAGGAGCGGGGAGTGGGTGGCTGGCCTCGTGCCCAGCGGGCCAGAGCTCGTCGTGTACTGCCGCTCGCTGTTCCCATTCATGGCTTGGATCGGACGGTATAATGTGCAATGGCTCCTCGGTGATCTCGTGGCGGGTAAGCAAGATCAAGACCGCCTCGCGGCATATCGGTTCCGTGTTGTTGACGAGAGAAATATAGGTATTACCATTGGTGCCGTGGTCGTCCCCCAGGGGATGGCCTATGCTGCTTTGGCAGCACTGCCTCCCCAATTCGGGCTCTACTCGTCCTTCATGGGCGTCCTCGTCTACTGGTTCTTCGCGACCTCCAAAGATATCACCATAGGTGTAAGTGCTCCGGGCGAGGCTCGAGTGGCGGAAATGGCAGTGGCTAACCCCCCAGCGATAGCCCGTTGCCGTGATGTCGACACTGGTCGGCCAGATTGTGGCCAAGGCAGCCCAGACGAACCCAGAAATCGAGGGGCATGTAATTGCGTCGGCTTTGGCGGTCATCTCGGGCTGCATTATTGTATTCATTGGCCTGGTCCGATGCGGCTGGATCGTGGACCTCATTCCTTTGGTCTCCATTTCCGCCTTCATGACGGGATCGGCCATCAGCATCGCCGTTGGCCAGCTTCCGGGCATGATGGGAATCAAGGGTTTCAACACTCGAGACGCCACTTATCTGGTATTTATTCACACCTTGCAAGGACTCCCAAGGACGACGGTAGATGCCGCCATGGGTCTATCTGCTCTGTTTTTGCTGTATTTGATTAGATTCTCGTGCACATTTGCGGCGAAGAAAGTTCCCAAGAGCAAAAAACTCTTCTTCTTCCTCTCGACCCTGCGAACCGCCTTTGTCATCTTGCTCTACACGATGATAAGCTGGCTGGTGAACCGAAACCACCGGAGCAAGCCTATCTTCAAAATTCTCGGCGTCGTTCCGCGAGGTTAGCCCGCCCCCCTCCCAAACGGACTAATATATGGAGGATGGTTGCTAATCGTTATGACAGGCTTCACGGCAGCTGCTGTTCCACAGGTCAATTCTTCAATAATCAAGATCTTCGCCAGTGATCTACCGGCTACCGTCATTGTCCTTTTAATTGAGCACATTGCCATCTCGAAATCCTTTGGGCGCATCAACAATTACATCATCGACCCATCCCAAGAGATGGTGGCTATCGGTATAACGAACATCCTAGGCCCGTTCCTGGGAGGATACCCCGCCACCGGATCATTTTCCCGAACTGCAATCAAGTCAAAGGCTGGTGTGCGGACCCCTTTTGCGGGTGTTATCACAGCGGTGGTCGTGCTCCTCGCTATCTACGCATTGCCCGCGGTTTTCTTCTATATCCCGAACGCCTCGCTCTCTGCTGTGATCATCCATGCCGTTGGCGACTTGATCACACCCCCTAACACTGTATATCAGTTCTGGCGTGTTTCTCCGCTGGAGGTCCCTATCTTCTTCGCGGGTGTGTTCGTCACTATATTTTCCAGTATTGAAAATGGCATCTACACAACCATCTGCTCGTCCTTTGCAATCCTCGTCTTCCGAGTCATCAAAGCAAAGGGCAGCTTTTTAGGAAAAGTAAAGGTCCATTCTCTTGCCGGTGATCAGATTGTGGGCGAGGATCAGAAATCTTTTCTCCTCCCGGAAAACGGGAATTTCACCCACTCGGGAGGCACCCACGAGGACGCAGCATCACGCAATATTTTCCTTCCCGTCGACCACAGCGATGGTTCCAATCCCGAAATCGAAGTGTTGGCACCATATCCAGGGATCTTCATCTATCGCTTCTCGGAAGGGTTCAATTACCCCAACGCCAACCATTATCTTGACCAACTTACCAATACCATTTTTGCAACAACTCGTCGTACGGATCTTGACCAGTATGCCCGCCCTGGTGACCGACCCTGGAATGACCCTGGCCCACGACGCGGCAAGGCTGCTGTGAGCCACCCCGATCGACCAACCCTCAAAGCTATTATCCTTGATTTCAGCGCTGTTAACAATGTCGACATCACCTCTGTCCAGCAACTCATTGATGTCCGCAACCAACTTGATAGATACACCGCTCCCTCGGTCGTAGACTGGCACTTCACATGCATCAACAACCGGTGGACGAAACGAGCCTTGGTCAGCGCTGGATTCGGTTATCCTACCATCCCAGCAGGCGAGGGTCACCTTCAACGTTGGAAACCTATCTTCAGTGTAGCTGAGATCGGAGGCTCGGATTCCGCTGCTGCGGTAGCGGAGGCCACTACGAACGAGAAGGAATTGCGAGAACACCGTTCGCGAGAACTCGAGCGGCCGTCCCAAGCTGATGCCATTAACCGTGATTCTGAGAGCGGGCTATCGAGTAGTGTCGATCCCAAGGAGATCATCGTGAAAGCTGGAGACAGGAGGGCGGCCGTTGTGAGTGGATTGAACAGGCCCCTGTTCCATATCGATCTTACCAGCGCGTTGCAAAGCGCCATTGCGAATGTCGATTCCAGGCAAGCCCTTGAGAGCCGTGGTGGCGAGGGTACGGGGGAGATACCATGATCACCTACGATGTAGTATTTGCTTTTTCGGATTTTGGGCTAGATATGATACCTTTTGTTGTTTGGTGCTGGTTTTGATTGGATACTTCGAGTTTGGGAATACCCAGCTGCGATATATATAAATAATACATAACATATTCTCTCTGTTTCACTCTGGGCAAGTGTAGACCCTTATTTAGCTCGTGCTCTGGCCTGCCTCATACAATCCCCACCCGAAAATCCACAAGCCACATTGTACTCTGGAATCTGAGCTAGCTTGACTTCGGAATTTTAACCTTTATATAATACTAAGTCGTTGGTGGCGTGCTAAAACTTATTGTTTAGATTATCATTTCAATCCAGTATTGCATAGTTGGTTCTAATATGTATTTAACTAACACTCTTGGAAAGCACAAGAAAAGGGTGCGGCGGAAACAGTGGTTTGTATACTATAACATCACAAAGTGTACGCGAGAGAGAGTTTTCTTCAGGATAGTCGGTTTTCAGAGACGCCTCGGGCTTTGTAGCACCGAATATGTTTGATTGGTCCTAACCCAGCCCAAAGGGCGCAACACAAATTGTTTAATGCTTCGCCCCAACTCCATGCTTTTCGAGTCCCATGTATGTACACCCGATGCCCAACCGTCCTCCCATCTATATATCTAACGTTCTAGAGAGAATAGTTTTCACTACCCCCGAGGCGCGCAATCTTATTGCCTTCCACCTGGTCAGCCGAGGCGCGATGAGCCATGATCCGCTCCAACCATCCATATTGTCCGTACACTCATCTCGTTGCGCCTGCAATGAACGCATCCGGAGGTAATTTATCCTGGAGAGTTAGCATACCACTCTTAAACAAAGCTGTACGTTATTTACCTTATTGGCAGTAAATGCGATAAAAGCTTGCTCAAGATCCCAACCGGTCTCGGTCAAGCATAACATGGCGTAATTCGGTGTCATACCAGTCCTCTCCACCAATTGCATCGCTATAGCTTGTTGCTTCTGCTGCTCTGGATTGCCTTGCGGAGTCTCTGGGGCGATGGGGGAAGACCGTGGTAGAGCTAAAGGTCCCCAGGCTCGGAGAACCATCATGTCACTGACGACTCTGATAGGAGGGCCGCCTGGGGCACCTGGGCCCAAGACAAAGGTCCGCGAGAAGCTCCGAAGAGCCTGCTCTGTTGAGTCGTTTTGTTCTTCGAACTCGCCGTGCATGGTGACGATTAAGCCATCAACTCCTCGAATGCTCTGGTTGTTGGGATCCGCCAATCCAGGCAGTGGGTGGCATTCAATGAGATATTTTTCGGGTTGACTCTGGAGATCAGGGTGACGAGTCGCAGGTAGGGTTGCCCATACTGATTGGATGGCTTGGCTGCCACGGTGCATCCGACTCATCTGTGTGGGCAGATTGTTGATCTTAACTAGGTTGCGAGAGTGTTTCGTATATGATGCCCAAGGCGGAATGGGAACGGAGTTTTTGGGGTTTCGAGGAGCCTGCATGTTGACGGATATCGAAAGAACTGATTGCATGTCGTAGAACGTCGCTAATAACTGAGGCCGGTCGTTATCATATAGCACCACAAACTGTCGGATGAAATTCTCTCCAACCTGGCCAACATCCCGAAAGTCAGGTGTAGCTATTGGAATTGGAGATTTTGCAGCCTCAACCGCTGCTGCAATCTCGTCGGGTGTTCTTATTTGGACGCCATTTAGGACCTCAAGGTACGGATACCGCCTCATGATCTCGGTCTTAATAGTGGGTAGCTGTGACTCGATCGGATTTCCGATAAGCACTAAATTGGATAGGTGTCTTAGTTTAGAGCGCCATGCATCGAGGGAACTCAATTGTTCGAGTCTATTTCGTGAGAGGTCGAGATTCTTAAGATCTGGAAATGTTTGGGCAAGTGCAGCGACGTCGGATACATCGGCCAAGTTGTTGTCTGCAAGTGTGACACTGACAATGGCGTCTCGTTTTTCTTGCCTGGTCTTAAAGAGCCCGTCGCATACGACCATGAGGGCCGGGAAAATCTTTGAAGTAGTCGTGCTGCCATCGAAGACACCCATCTGCTTCAGTCCCTCATCTTGTGCCAAAGCGGACAGGTCGAGGAGTTTCAGAGCGGCATCATATCTGGTGGCGAGAATGCCGCGAAGGCGCTCCTTAGTTTCCTGCGCACTGGGGGAAACTTGGGCTTTCTTTTTATCTTCCGACTTGTCCGATCTTGCTAATGACGAAGGATCATAAGGTTGAATGGTTAGAGTGGTCCCTGCAAACATGAAATTATCCAATTTCTGGATTTCTGCAATATCCTCCGGGCTGGCGGTGATAATGACCGAGTCACCCTTCTTCAGTGACTATTTTGACGTTAGCAAGGCATAATAACCTTGTAAATCGATCGCGGATCACGTAGCGGTAAAGCAGGTGTATCGAACCTCGACTCGTTGGAGGCGGGTATAGAAACGAGTCCAATAAGACGGCAACGATGGACAACCTCGTGACCCAGCGACCAAATCAATAACATACCTTCTTGATCTTGATAGCCCTGTTCGATTTGGCGTCCAGTCCGCTTGCTTTGCGCTCCAGAAATGCCAGTAGACTCTCTACACCACCATCTGGATTCGAAGCGGCTTTGCTCGAGCTCAGCCCATCTACTCGAGCCATGGTCCCGCCAGTCGTGACGTGTGACTCCAAAACATTTGCTTGTTTCGCTCCCAAACCTCGAATGATGGCCTGCTGGGCTTTGATAATTCCTGCATTTCCACCCCTCGAGGGTCCTCCACTACCTCGCCCCGGCCCACGTGCCCTGGATTTCTGCCCCCCAAGCTGACCCCTCCCAGATTTACGCTCTCCACCGGCAGCTACAGGATCCATCACCAAGTCTCCATCTTTATCGACTCGAGCCGGACCAGCTCTGCGCTTTTGTATTCCGCCGCCACGGACGCTGGGCGAGGTATTCCTGGAGCCTCGCGGGGCTGCCGAAGAGCGCTTCAGCATGGTATCGTTCGCGAGAGAGGTGGGCGGTGGCGTCTTTATATGATCGCCTGGACGTGCTTGCTGAGGGGCGTGGTGATGGGGAGTCAGACCATCCGTAAATAATGAGTCTGGATTTCGAACACGTTCGCTTGGCGGCAAGGGAAGGAAAAGGTGGCAGATGCGATTGCAGCAGAAGAGGGTGCCAGTTCCGTAGAGCAGTAGATGAAGGTGGAAGCCGGAGGATGATGAGAGGCAGCAGCTCAAAGAACGTGAATCAATGGACGACGGTTGGGACTGAGAGCAAGGCTGACAAGACAGACCTGGATGAGTCAGCAGCAGGGCTTTTCATCAGAATCCGGTCATGGGTGCCTCAGGCCAAACTGAATTGGGAATTGGGAATTGGCTGGCACGTGATACTAGGTGGACCTAACCCGTACCTACCCGTACCTCCCTAAGGTACCTAGGCAGGTAGGTACAGTACTTCGTACGAAGTACGAGCCAAGATAAATACCTAAGGTACCTTAGGTAAGGTAAGGTAGGTACAATACAATAGCGAGACAGTTACTTATAAGTAGCAGCCGGGGGAGTACATACTGCGTAAGGAAGAGAGACTTGGAGGCGTGGTGAAAACGACCATTCGGCGTGCAGAGTGCGTAAGGTATACATAAGGTAGGTAGGTACGAAGTACCTAGGTACCTGGTACGAAGCACTTACCCACCCACCCGCCTTGTTCCATGTACATACATCCCGCGCAACCCTTACGCGAGAGCTCGAGACTTTTGAAAGCTGTCCTCTACCCCATCGTAACCATCAATCACATCATGCTTCTGAATTCCGTACGATTCGACGCTGAATACCTAGGTTGACTTCTGAACCGTCTCTCTCCTCCAATATTTTGCGAGGCCATTGAGTCCAACGACGACTACCTAGGTAATTTATGTATCTTTGACGATTCGCGCTCCAACATTTTGCCGTAAGGCTAGGTAGCTCTTGGTTGTGATTGTCACTGCTTCGAGCATACAACAAACGATCTAGTACCTCGAGCTCCTTGCGCCGCAAATATGGCACCTAAATCTAGATTTACACGGCTAGATGCCTTCACAAAGACCGTCGATGAGGCGAGGGTGCGCACAACTTCAGGAGGTATTGTCACGATCGCTTCACTGTTCATCGTTCTATACCTGGCATGGGGTGAATGGAGTGATTATAGGCGCATCGTCGTCCATCCTGAGTTGATAGTCGATAAGGGCCGAGGTGCGTAGTCCCGTGCTGGCAGCAAGTCTCCGAAATTCAACTGCTGACTTTGCGGGAAAAGGGGAAAAGATGGAAATACATCTAAACATTACCTTCCCGAAGATTCCCTGCGAACTTTTGACACTGGATGTGATGGATGTCTCTGGAGAGCAGCAGGTTGGCGTGATGCACGGTGTCAATAAGGTCCGCCTCGCGCCTGATGACGAGGGCGGCCAGGTTATAGATGTCAAGGCTTTGGACCTGTAGGTTTCGCAGTCCTTTGCTGTTACGCCGTGACAAATGCTGTTGCTGACCCCTTTGCAGACATTCTGACGATCAAGCGACACATCTAGCTCCTGATTATTGCGGTGAATGCTATGGCGCAACCCCCCCAGTCAATGCGGAGAGGCCGGGTTGCTGCAATACATGCGACGAGGTTCGAGAAGCTTACGCAAGCGTCTCGTGGGCTTTTGGTCGAGGAGAGGGCGTTGAACAATGCGAACGCGAGCACTACAGCGAGCGACTGGACTCGCAAAGAAAGGAGGGATGCCGAATTGAGGGAGCTGTTCGGGTCAATAAGGTCGTTGGAAATTTCCATATAGCCCCAGGAAGGAGTTTCAGCAATGGAAACATGCACGTCCACGACCTCAATAATTATTTCGACACCCCCGTCCAAGGCGGTCACGTATTCACGCACAAGATTCATCATCTTCGCTTTGGCCCACAACTACCAGACGAGCTGACAAAAAAGCTGGGCTCCAAGTCAGTTCCGTGGACCAATCACCACTTGAACCCCTTGGACAACACCGAGCAACGCGCAACGGATCCAGCGTACAACTTCATGTACTTTATCAAGGTTGTCTCTACCTCTTATCTCCCATTGGGATGGGAAAACCAACGCTACCCAGGTGATGACCAAGTGGGGATTGGAGCCTATGGCCGCCAGAATGATGGCAGTGTTGAGACTCACCAATATTCTGTCACTAGTCATGGCCGAAACTTGAACGGCGGCGATGACTCCGGCGGGGGGCATAAGGAGAAGCTACATGCCCGAGGCGGTATTCCTGGAGTCTTCTTCTCATATGTAGGTTTTGTTTGTTTGACCTCGACTTCGCATATCGATTCTAACGAGTGATTAGGATATCTCACCTATGAAAGTTATTAATCGCGAGGAGCGATCCAAGACCTTGACCGGCTTTTTGACCGGGCTCTGCGCGATTGTGGGAGGAACATTGACTGTGGCAGCTGCAGTTGACCGCGGATTGTACGAGGGCGGAACACGTTTAAAGAAGTTGCAGTCTAAGAACTTGTGAATAGGAGGCTGGCATTGGTATGGAGTTCAGATGGTTTGGATATAGGAAATGGCAGATATCGTTGATTTATGACTGGGCATCATGAGATATTGCCGGGACTCATCTCAAGCAAGCCCTTTGTACCAGCCCATGCCCACCTAACCCACTCGCCCCTACGGGCCGAAACAGCGGCGCCTACTTCGGGCGGCCATATTATGGTACAGTAGGCGCATACTGCGGACGATCACTCAAAATGGCCTGACGGCACTCCGCTTGCTGACTGCAAATGCCAGCTGATTGCGTGCGTCAATCAAACCGAGCTCTTCTCTCGCCCATATCTATATCTGTACCCATCCGATGTCCACTACTGAAGAGGCCTCACCGTTTGCAAAGACTACATCGTGACATTCCGGGAACCAAAAGCATGGGAACTGGATGAATTGAAGTACGAGGGGGGGTGGGGGACTGTACCGCTTCGTAGAATGGTCTAATTCCTACTGCTTGGTATATGTAACATGTAAGGTATGGATAACGTACAAGGTCGTTCCTTTTTTCGGTATTGGGATTGTTGTGTTGTAGGGCTCTCAACTCCAATAAGTATGCCAAACGCCGATGTAGGGGGTTAAGTACCTTGGTACCGTACTTATCATCTAGGTATGAAGTCCTACTGAACATGTACGTGCGATCTAGGCACTCCGTGAGTCTGGTACGCGGGAACTGGTGGACCGGATTCTCCCGCCCCCAGATTCGGCCTGGCTCTGGTGCGTCTGGTCTACTTACGGAGCACTGTCATTTGTCCTGTCATTGTCAGACAAAGATGTGGGGAAGCAAAACAATCCGGCACTTCGTAAGTACCTAGGTACTTGTACATACGTAGTGCAGCAAAGCTATGACAACCCAGGAACGTGTTTAGAACCATCCAGTGTCAACAGAGCGGCACAAGTGGTTAGGTTTTCGAAGGGTTCCGAGTTAACACGCCTGGGCAGTTCGCCACGTTGATACCCGTACCCTCCCCAGAATGATATTCCATCGCCCTCCCCCGTCCCCTGTTCTCGTACCCCTATTATTCCCCATTCCCGATCCCCTAATAATACTTCGTAATTCTGGCAAAGACCCCGTATTTCAGGGGCAGCCAATCGCGCTCAGTATACGCATGCGCATCCCGTTGTATGGTTTTCGAAGGATCCTCTGTCCGACTGACCATCTCACTTAATATACGAGTAATAGTTGCGGAGTACGAAGTACTTCGTGCTCGAATGACCGTGGCCTTCGCTCCCTCCTGCCTCTCTCTCCTCCACTCATGCGGTTTCTGCGCAGCCGTCGCTGATCTGATCTGGTGGCTGTTGACATTGAAACCAGCGAAATCGCTTCGTTGTCGCATCATATCCAGCACGGAGTACACATCCACCACCTCCTCCACCATCTCCGCCTCATTCATTCCTTACTCCCATCGCTGCGTTGCGATACCACGGCCGTCGCCATCTACCCCCTCCCTCCCCAACTATCGTTTTTCATTCAGACCCTCGTCGCTCACTTCACAACAACTTAATCGCAATCCTTCCAACGCCGCGCCTTCACACAGCCGCCCTTGCGCCATCCCCTCGTTCTCCCCATCGAGCCATATAGGTACCCACACACAAATCGAAACATCCCCATTGATCCGCAACGACGACCCAAGCAGTCTAGAGCTGCGGATAATATTTCTTGCTCCAAACGAATCTCACCGCCGTCCCGTCTCCAAACCTCACGATCTACAAGTCCCGGCGCATCGAAGAGAGGAACAAGAACAGGTCTTAAGAACCAGCAGTCCCCAACGAACTCCTTATGATGGCCAACCGACCGAATTACCTCGATCTTCGGTCCGAGTCCCATGGATCAACTAGCACAGGACTTCCGTCTCCTCGTTTACACGTCGCGGGAGACGTCCCTCCCGAACTTTCACCTCTCGATGCATTCGCAGCCCAAAGCCGACGCTTGGCCAAGCAACTGGAGGAGAGCATGAACAGCGGTGGGAAACGGATTAGCAGGCTTCCTCCCCTGGCAATAGCAGATTCATTGAACCAAGCCCGACCTACATACTTCCGTTCTTTTTCAGCTGAGGCGGGATCTGGAACGCCCACATCGCCATTAAATAGCCCTGGGATCGGCCTGAAGATGGAAGTTGAGGCCCCTTTGAATCGCCCGGTTTCTGTTCATCCCCTCCTCAGTGGTGCCAACGGTGCGCCGCCACCTCTACCCGCGGAGCCATCTCCTATGTTGGATATACGCGATGAAGGACAGCCTCGAGGTAGAACACGCCCAAACCCAAACCAGCTCCACGGCCCTGGATATTTTGGAGCTCGGCGAGAACGATCCCCGCAATCTTTAGATCGAGGCCAGAGCCTTGCCTCCGCGGAGAACGCCTCGTCAGATATACAATCTCGACCTAGTGTTGAGTCCATGCGCTCTCATGGAAATGGACCACGGAGAGCAAATGACACCTCTTTAGGGATAACCAATTACGATTCTAGAGCACTAGCACCTCCTCGGTCACCATTCGCACAAAGGACTCCAAGCCCTAGATCGATGTCCATGGATAGCTCCGATGACGATCTCAATACCTCAAACGCATCTCGAGTTTTGTCACCACCCAGAAAACTTTCTTCAAGTAGCGGCTTATCAACCTCACCTATTTCACCCACGATGCATTCCATGCCAAGATCACCCTCTATAAGTTCTGAAATGTCTGTTGGTGGAACACACCTGCCACGACCAGCGTTCAATTTTTCCAGGCCTTTGAGCAGAGCCAGCGCCGCCGGGTTACCAGTTGATCTCCCCTCAAGGCAGGCATCTTCTGACAGCCAGCCCTCATTTATACTAGCTGATGATACTGCACATACTCCTGTCAGTATCCACAGTGATGGCTTTCCAGAAAGTATCAACGAAACTGGAGCAGCGCCGTCATACGTTTATTCCAGGTTTTCATTGCCCAGGGGCAAAATCCTACAGAGGAACTCATTGATATTTCAAGAAAACCTACCACAGGCACAATTTTCATGGGAACAGCCAGTCGCCTTCACAAATGTAGAGACCATGTCAGGCGGGGCACCACCGTCTCCTCCCTTCAGACCTTCTAACGCGTCTTTAAGACCAGACCCAGGACAGCTTCGGCCGTCGCTTGACCGTTCCAGACCTTCAATTGAACCAGGACAGCCATCGTTTGATCTTGAACGGCCATCGCTTGACCCAGGCCGCCCTTCGCTCGATCCGGGAAAGATTTCAAGTGAGCAAGGACGGTCATTAGCATATCAGCCGCAATTATCAAAGTATGATGGCCAGACTCCATCCCTCGCATCATCGGCTACCATCAAAGCCAGATCGCAACATTCCCTAGCATCAGCTGCAGAGTTGCCTGCTGAAGAACATGTTTCAAAAGCCATAGAATATCACGAAGCAGGTGCCCTGACCAAATCAACCTATCACCTTCGCCTTGCCGCACGTCAAAATCACCCCACAGGAATGCTCCTCTATGCCTTGGCTTGCCGACACGGTTGGGGCATGCGACCAAATCAAAAGGAAGGAGTTGCTTGGCTACGCCGGGCCGCAGATTCTGCTAGCTTGGAAATTGCTGATGATGAAGACCTGATTAGGGGTGGTAAGACAGTTGACATACTGGAAAGAAATACAAGAAAAGCCCAGTTCGCCCTGAGTATTTATGAGCTTGGTGTTAGTCATATGAATGGATGGGGCATCGAGCAGGATAAGGTGCTTGCTTTGCGCTGTTTTGAGATTGCCGGGTGTGAGTTATCCTACCGCCCTATACGTTTATTAGATATGGAGGCTAATCAGGTATTTACAGCTTGGGGAGACGCTGATGCTCTAGCGGAAGCGGGGTTCTGTTACGCACAGGGCATAGGCTGCAAGAAGGATCTTAAGAAAAGCGCGAAGTTTTATCGTCAAGCGGAAAGTAAAGGCATCAGTATGGTAGGGAATAGCTGGTTAGTCCCTGCATCCTACCTCCACGACTTCAACTAATGCAGAATACCCAGGATCTACAAAGCAAAATATAACGACGATACGGAAGAGAAAAATTTGCCAGAGGCGCGACCATCGTCAGAAAAAGAAAAGGACAAAATCCCGCGCAATAAATCACGGTCACGAACGATGTTTGGAAGGATGAAATCAGCATCCTGAGCAAAAATATATTACTGAACTGTACGTATAATGTTTTAATGATGGATGGGTCTGGTTGGCGTTCTCTTCAAGTGGACTACCCCTTTGAAACGTCTAATGACTTAAGGCGTCTAATGACCTAAGGCAACTTGCGGGCCACGGCATATAAGCGGCAAATTTCACACATTTCTTTTTGGAGTGGAGGTGTGAGATGATATATCGGTTGAATCACTATGTACAGTCACAAAACTGTGAATAATAGGCAGCATTCCAATTACAAGGTCAAGCAATATGTATATACTTCGTAGGAATTGAGTTCTGCGTCTGTCGGAGCATCTGATGGTCAGTTGCATGCAGCAAGTAGGGTCCCGCGGCTAGCCTGCAGTTTCCATGTGTCATCGTTGTGGTGCTATAACATCCTCCTTTTCGTCAATCGTGCCCGCAGTCTTCTATCTAGTCTACATGTCTACACACTCGATTCCATCATCGTACCCGTGGCGCAGTATAAATTTATCGTATCCTCCTCTCGCTGTTCCTAAACATTTATGTGCTCAATGCCCTCATATCCCAACATTTTTCCTTGCTCGTCCCAAACGAAAGAACTATCTAGAAGTGACCTAGTAACATGGCTATCGTCCGCTCTAGCGGCAGTCTTTCTGGTAGAATGATGATATATGTAATACCAGTTCCACCGCACAGTGTTGAGGTGAGTTATCAGAAAAGTGGTGGTCAAGACGAAAGGGATGTTCTAGGACGGTATCCGAAAGGTGCATGAGTGTACCAAGTATCCCAGACCTAGGTATTTTGAGGTAGCTTCTAAGCAATGCACAAATTGGACTGGACTTAAGGTACTAGCTTGGATGACTGGATTCTACTGATGATTCACCAGGCATCATGTATCCAATATTCAGGCCAAGCCCGAAATACGTGGATCATCTGCATACTCCGTGGTGTGACTGGCGAATCTGGCGAAAAGAGAAGTCGCTGCACATTCTATGGGACGCCCCTGTACTGAGCACCAGAGATAAAGCACCCACCTCATCGCAACCTGGCAGCTATATTCTCCCTTCGTCCTGTGGTAGTGGAGTTTTCGTATAATTGGCCTGGTCCTTTTGATACTCGGTTTTTGAAACCGGACTATAGAGATCAATAATTCAAATATCTGTTATCTTTTCGACCAGGTATAAGAACTTTAAATGATATTTTTCAACTCGCTTTAGTCGCAGGATCCTCGATTAAGGCTAGACGAATTTTTCTCGGCGTATATAGTCGTATATGTAATAGAGAGTAGTTAAGTTGGTAAATATTCAGAGTTGTCTAGTTAGAAGCCGTGGACACCCTTTAAACGCTACACTACCTAAGTTTGTTGTATTGGTATACAGGCCGAAGTGTGGTTGGTGCCTTGAGCTTCCTGTGTATACGATCGGAGCTCAAGACTTGGGGGTCCAATAACGCCAATATGGCCGAGCCATATCACTAATAATGTCCCGTCTAACCTCCACGCGCAAGACTCGGCTCTATTAACTCGCCCGTTTCAACCCTCACCCTACTCCCCCTTTGATTCTTCTTCCACCTATCCACTCCCCGCCTGTGCAACTGAGCCCACGTCTTCGCAATAATATCGTTGCCGAGTGGCCTGCACTAGATTCTTGCTTTCTTTCGACTTCTATTAACTTCTTTCGACTTTTTCTGGGCACCGCTTCTTTCCTGAATGGAAATTCGTCGCCCGCGGGTCGTCGATCCACTCAAACGCTAGTTTCAATCCCAGATCGCGACAGAGCTCCTTCATCTTGTTGTTTCCAGAATATATAATATTCTGAATGAGAGCTCCTCGCTGTCTCTCCTTTAGTCTCCGCTTCACATTTCTAGCCCCAGCTTGCTGCAATTCGTGAGATCGTATAGATGGATTGAATATTTGCGGCAGTTGCAAGGCTTCTGCGAGGTCTATTGCATCGAGCATCGCACAGTTCGCGCCCTTGCCGAGTACTGTGGATATGCTTGCCAAATAGGTAAGTAGGTGCAGAACCCGCAATAACAGGTTATGACACTTACCTGAAAACAGAATCTCCTATGAGTGTTACAGAACCCGAATTCCATCGTTTGATTGCTTTACAGTCCCGCACAATATGAATATGTGCGGTATTGATGATTAATTGTTCTGCTAAGGCTATGAAACTGGGGTGCATTTTCGGATCGGCTCGGACACGTTCGAGACATTCGACTTTGAGCTCCTCCGATGAAAGTTCGCCTGGCGGTTTACTCTTATTCGAGAACTCGTCGCAGGGGCTGCCGTATCCAAACATAATAAATGACTCATCCATACCAATGTCATATTCATCGTATAGAGTTGCCCAGTGCTTCCTTGGATTCGTCCATGAGTGGATGAAGATGTTCTGATTTCGGTGACAGAAGGCCTACAAAACCGTGAGCAAAAATATCTCCAAATAGGCAATAGCAGATAAATACCCTAGTCATAGATTGCGTAAGTAATAGATTCTCAGTGACTGGTGTTAGTGGGATCTTGAAGTATATGATAGCCAGCCATGGCTCGGTGATCCTAGCATCTGGCACTAATTGTTTTCTGACCCTTGAACCTATTCCATCAGCTCCAACCAGCAGATCGCATTCCACCCTGCTGCCATCGTTAAAATGTACCATCATTCCACCGTTCGGTAAATTTTCATATGCCTGGAAAGTCTTGCCAAAGATTGCAAAATCATGGCTTCCATACAGAAGCGCGTTTCGGAGCAGCCATCGGTTCACGGAATAGGTATCACGGATCTCGTCGGCCTCGAATGCCAACATTTTCCGACCATCACTACAATTTCCGTGAGTTATAACTCGAAAATGGCCCCAGTTGGGGATTCTAGGCACCTCTTAAAAAAAGTCAATTCCTGCCCACATTGTGGCTGCACCCCAATACTCGCGGCAACCCGGTCCCATACATCCTTGTGGAGTGTGGCCTGCAGCTTCTTTAACACGAAAGACGAGAGCATCACACGGTAGCCGGAGAGCCTTTCGATCTCATCTATACTTCGCTCGTAGACGGTGACTTGCACATTGGGAGCGCAATGCAAAATCTGCGCCAAAGTTAGGCCCCCAAGCCCGCCGCCAACGATTGCTACTCGGATGATTGGAGGAGTTTGCTCATGGATGGATGTCTGAGTCGACGCGGATGGCCATGATGACGATGTACTGATTGAGGAAGACGATCGAAGTGGAGTTGGAGAAGATGGCATTTCAAATTGCGTTACTTCTGGGTAGGCTGTCTAGTGGGCATATACAGCAGTACTGTAACCGTCTCAGGAGTATTATTTACGCGATATGCTGTACATTGACAATTCAAATCTAGAAATTGAATTCGAGGCCGAACGTCAGATAGAGATAGAAAATAAATATAAGAGAAATAATGCAACAAAATTCGAAAGGAAGGAAAGGAATCATAGTTTTAGGGGTGGGGGTCAAGCATGTACCATAGTGGGGGACTAAATTGACGATTCGTGGATGGCATGCTAAATTAAAATTTCTTGAGATCGTATGATGTGAAGCATCGGCTTATTGAAAAATATGATCAAAGCTTTTCCTTCAGGCCCAGTGACATGACCTGAGAACCGCTATCGTTAGGCGGTGATAATTTCCGCACAGTCTACCGTACTGAGCAAATACTCAGCCAGCCAGCACATGTACGTAGGTACGTGCGTTAGTAAGACAAGATACTCGAAAACTGCTAATAGAATAGTCGAATGTACGAGTAAATGATAGCTTGACCTAGGTGGTGAGGGATACACATATACATACTACGCAAGTCGAATCGTCGATAACGAGTAGTGGAAATGAGCCTCGGTACTTCAAGCGACCAAACAGGGGCAGCGGCAATATCGAATAATACGAGCGACCAATCCTCACAACTTTGGGAAGATGTTTCGTACTACAGATGCCGAAATATCTTCGGCAGATGCTTTAGCGCGGTACGGTCCGCACACGTGGTACGGAGTGTCGTATTATTAATAAGCAGCTTCCAGGTCCCTGGTCACTGTCACTGGCGTGGTGTTTTCTTGATCGCCGAGGTTTTACCGCTGTACCCCCCTGCATCTCATGTACTTAAATGATCACGTGTTAGACCACACTCGCGTGTCGCCAACGCGTCTCAACATTAAGAAGTAAGAGACCAGAGATAGCACGAGTACCTACGTACCTCCCTATCTAAGATACCTAGACGCGTATATTGGGCCTCGGAGATCGTTGCCAACGGATAGGCCGTCTCTTGATAAACCCATATCCCACGGCGAAGATACTGGTACCTTGAACAAGCTTTGTGCTCAACAACCTTCATGATCCGACGCGTCCAATCAGACTCGCATCCTGCATTATAACCGTTTGACCCTCAATTTCTGAAATCCTTCCCCGGATACATAGTGGTTACGACCATAATGGCGTCATCCGCCCACCTAGGCGGTGCCATTCGGTCCAAGCCGGTCATCGACGATGCCTACAGAGCGCTACACAGGATTGCACTACAAAAACTGCCAGTGATAGATCTTGATGCCGACACCTTCGCCGTAGGAGTGCTTCCACATGATAGAAACCCCACGGCTTGTCTGTCCGAAGATTTTCTATGGTTCAAAGTCAAATCAGTGAGCTATATTGCTACTATTGTTATGTCAGCGCTAATAATCTCTAGAAACATTCGGTTGGCAAGCTGAAGAACGCATATTTAAAACGGACCGATGTCGGGGTTAACTTCAAGTATGGCAACACAACCGCCGACGACGTGACACAGATGCGTCACCTTGATACCATGATCGACCACATCGTTGTCTTCGCGGCTGTTGATATCATGGCCGTCGAACCATCCCCGTTGTGCACGTCATACGAAGTAGGAAGACCTGTACAGCTCATTGCAACTACAAACCAACTCTGCGCACCCCCAGGCACTTCCCCAGCTCGCCCTACTTCGACTTCCAATTAAAAAGGAAAACCGGTATGGACCCCACTTCCCGGTTGCCGCTGTTTCCCGATCTTCATTCCCTACTACTTTGAATGTGCCTAATGAAATTAGACTACCACCACTTCTATCAGAGCTTCCAGTCATAGTTAAAAATGAATCCAGAAGGGCATCCTCACCTGAGGGTCACGCCCATGCCGTATTCTCCGGCGTGGATAGTGTATTAGCAGCGCAGCTCCCTGCAGGCCACAGTACGTACACGGCTTCCTTGATTGATAATTTACTTCCCGCATTTGGCCCCGAACTTCCCTCCGCGGTTTAAGCCTCTATAGAGGGTAAGACGTCCTATTTGAAATCTTCATTTGTCTATACAGCAGCTTAACCATTCCTAAACCTGCCTCTTTAGTTGGTCCGTTTAAATATGCTTCACCCAAGCAAGGTCTTTTCTTACAGTGTACCGAAGCATAGTTTAAGAGAGAACCTACTAACAAGTTTTATGGACATAGATAGTCCTCTTCGTAGCAAACCAACCTCTAATCATGGTCCACAATCAACAACTGTGGACATTTCCCATAATGCAGGAGAAGATCAAAGTCGAACCGACAGCATACTGATGCATGAAACACAATCATACAGGGAACCGAAGGCTATGAAGCAAATTGCACGGCTGCAGATATTAATTGAAGAAGCATCTCCTGACCATCTCGAGACTGAAGTTCGGAACAGTCAAAGATTCCTAGAGAATCTGCGACAGGCATTCGGCGAAAAGGGGTGCCAATCTCCGAATTCACAGCATTGGGTCCAGCAAATATCAAATCTACAAAAAAAACACAAAGTGGATACTCCGACGATTATTGGAGTTGTGGGTAATACGGGCGCAGGGAAGAGTAGCGTTATCAATGTTATTCAAAACGAACCTAGTCCCCGCATAGTCCACTCGTAACTAACAATGAGGACGGAAGGCTTTAAAGGAGGATCTCGAAGATGGTAAGACTGTATGGGCTCCATCGTCGAAGAAGCGAGGGAGATCAGCAGAACCGAGCAAGGGAAGAAAGAAGCGGAAGTTGATAAGATCTACCAACTCTGATGAAGGTGGCCCTATTAATGATAGCGACGATGATGACGCCGAAGCTGGGGATGAGGGCAGAAATAGTCAGATGATATCAGACTCGGGGAGTGACTCCTCCGCTGTTTCTAGAAAAGGCGACCCGCTGACACTGTTTACAATTGATGAGACGATCTCTCAGTTGAAAGAAAACAAGAAGCGAGCTCGTCGGGAACGTGCTGATATGGAAGCAAAAGCTAAAATTCTAAATGAGCAACTTGCGAGTTTGGAAAAGACAAAAAATGACCTAGAAGCAGCCATGAGCTCCACCTGCATTATGCGCCGAAATGCCTACTCTAGAAGCGCTATTCAGGTTGACTTTGCCGCCGGGATCAAAGAACTAGATCAGGAAAATGCTCAAGAGGCAGACGAAGCAAATTTCAATCCCGATGAAGATATCAGAAACTATGAAGAAGTGGCTCGGTCATTGCCTGTCTTTTGTGTTAGCTCTCGCGCCTACCAAAAGCTCGGGCCGCCTGCAACGGGATTCTGATGTTCCTGGATTTCGCGCAGTGGGGGAAACAGAAATCCCAATGCTTCAAGCACACTGTAAGAAGCTTACAGAAGAGGGCCGAGCTTCAAACTGCCGTTTATTTTTGACTGACATGTGTCAACTGTTAAACTCACTGAGCATATGGGCATCTGACGATGGTACAGGGTCGAACTTGACAAGTACTCAGAGAGTAGCTGAATCGTGCTTTCTAAGGGCCCGCCTTCAAGATTTAGAACGAAATCTAGAAAAGGCGGTAGGGGAATGTCTCAAGGAGATGAGAGATACTCTCGCAGAAAATATATTCGAAAATTTCGAAGGGGTTGTTCAGCAAGCTGTCGCAGAAGCTACCACCACAGCCACCAGATGGGGAGATCGTAACAATGGCGGGTTCTACTGGGCAACCTACAAAGCTCTTTGTCGTAGAAATGGTGTCTTCACAAATGGAGCTGGAGCTCATGACCTTAACCTCCAGCTCACGGAGCCCATTATCAAGGGACTAGCTAATAATTGGGAGAAGGCTTTTGCTAGAAGGCTTCCAACGGTGCTTCAAAGCTTTTCAAGACAGAGCAAAAGCCTCCTCCTCAATTTCCACCACGAAATTGAGACCCGCAGCATGCAGAAGGGGGTAGGCGTGGCGGGTTTAACAATGCTCGGCCAGCAACTCCGCAATTATGAGGGCCTCTTTATGAACCTCACTCATCAAATAGTTGAGCTCATCAACCAAAGTCAACGTGATGCCAATCGTGAATTCACTCCAGTCGTAGCAAGTTGGCTTTCTTCGCCCTACGAGTACTGTGCTGCGGAAGTCGGACAAGGCAAGTCCTATCAACCTAATTTCAGTTACCCGGAATGATGACTAATTTACGTGGGGCAATATATGAGGATGAAAGAACACATGAACTAAATGTTCACTCAGAGTGTGGATGGGGTTAAAGCAAGGTTGACAACAATGTGTCGAGCAGTGGAGGAGGAGATGGCGAATAAATCTGACGAGGTTTGGTCAGCAATGAATCGCGATTACACACAGGTTGTGTCGGGAACGCAACTCCCCGACGGCCAACAAATGCCTAAGTAGGAGCGGATCCTCAAGTCCGAGGTTGCCTAGATTATTGCAGAGCATGAGAATGGTACTAAATCGAGTGCTATGTCTACTGAAGGGAAGAGTATGTACACCCAATCAGGCATCTGCTGATGAGGTGATGGCGAGATGTCCCTACTTCCGACGCCACCATCGATGCCGGTGTAAGTGCAGACATGGCTTGAGCCTGCCAATTCGTATGTTTCGGACTATTAATGTATATTAATGTTGGTATACTGTGCTTTTTTGGTAAACATGGCGAGGCTGTATTGCGATTATAAAATACATTAAGGAAATAGGGCCGCCCTTCATCGGCTACTAACAAAAGTAGATATAACTTAGCTTATACCTAGAATCGTAAGTCTAGGTGCCTATCTTCTATAATTAATTACGTATAACTTGCGATTTAATAATACTTGAGGGAAAATTCAAAACGGCCATCCTAACCTATGATAAGCTCAACAGAATGATCTGCTCTCTAAATCTGGTAATATTTTGTGCTATTGCTAGCTACATTATATTATATTGATTTGCAAATCCTGGTGCCAATACCCAATGCACCCCATAAATCACCCTCTGCATCGCTAATTTCTGTTTATATATTCCAGATATTGTTTAATTCCCTTCTTGGTAGGGGGTTGGGTGCTCTGCGAAAGGACTTTAGGGAAGTCTCTAGTCTAATATCTGATTGTAACGCGGCCCAGTCGGCTTCATTCTGTTCTAGAAACATGTTGTCGGAGACGTCGCCAGCCCAGCATATAGGCGATCTGCAGGCTCCACGACCAGCACGTACCATGACAGAGAAACTGGCCGATATTCGTGAAATCTATTTACTATTCCCGAGTCATACGGGAACATACCGATCGCTCTCCCTAGGACCAGCGAGCCAACTGAGTTTCCTTGGAGCATAACAGTTCCAGGCTGGGTTATATTGTAGCAACCTCATTGACTATGACTAATAACCAGTCGGCCCAAGCAGCAAAGGTGACCCTGTTGGCCCTAGCTAACAACGAAGAGGTATCTTATAGAGTGAGCTGCCTGGTCGTTTACAGCTGGATAGCGTGTCTCCACTAGCTATGTTGAAAAAGGTAAGGCTCTAAATATTGATGCAGCAGCGATGCCTTGTCGATTATAATACCTAACCACAGGAGAGTTAGGGGAGCAGCCAGCTTATGGGGCGTCTTGAACAGCAGGGCCCGACATCCGCCCAGCTTGAAAAATATCCTATCGCACCAAGTCCATATATCAAGATGACGAGATCTTTGAATGAAGACTATAGTTTTCGGTAACCTTCGTTTATCGTTTTCCGACACAAGGTAGGGTTTAGACAGGCCTGAAGGATCCCAACTCCTATCAGAATTTTAAATCGAGGTAGAATAGCAATTAAAATCAACTAAAAGATCCCTCAAGAAACCCATCCCTGCTGTGGACTGATTACAAGTACGCCACCGGTGTTATACCGGTATTGTGGGTTACAGAGTAGACACGTATTCCTGGAAACCGGCATAGCCTTTGGCGAAGCCGCACTCCACGATAAGTCGGCAGGGGCAATGGCACGGACTAGGCAAGTACACCCTAGGGCATCACGAGTATAGGCAGAGTATCGGTTCAAAAGCAGTAGGCAGGTATGTTTGAAAGTTCATGATCATATTGCTCAGCGCCCGACGCTGGCATAATGTACACCGTATAAAAAAGCAAAGTCCATCGCGATAATAACTCCGTGAAGCCCTTCCATGAGAAAACCCAGTACCACGCCCATTACATTCCCATCAGACCCCCAAAATATGACAAGTTCACTCCATGTTCAACGCGTGCGACGACATGTAAGCAAGGTAAAATGCCATATTGAAGGCTCATCAGAGATTCACGTCACGCATTTAGCTTCTCTCTCCACGGAGACGTCTGGCAAGCTGGATGTCCTCTGTGGTGACTGTTAGTAAGTTTTTAGGGAAACGTGTATGCATGAGACTCACTGCTCTGGATGGTCACTCTCTTGGCGTGGATGGCGCACAGGTTGGTATCTTCGAACAGGGATACGAGGTATGCCTCGACGGATTCCTGAAGGGCACCGATGGCGGATGACTGGAAACGGAGGTCGGACTTGAAATCTTGGGCGATTTCACGAACCAGGCGCTGGAAGGGGAGCTTTCGGATCAGGAGCTCGGTAGACTTCTGGTAGCGACGGATCTCACGGAGAGCGACGGTTCCTGCAAAGTGTAAGAAGAGGGGACGTGACGCGACGCGATGTCAAAACATACCTGGCTTGTATCTGTGGGGCTTCTTGACACCACCGGTGGATGGTGCGGACTTGCGGGCAGCCTTTGACGCAAGTTGCTTACGGGGGGCCTTGCCTCCAGTGGATTTACTGTTTGTTTATCAGCCTTTGCTCGTCATGACGCGATGGTGTTGTGATATGGAAGCGCGTCGCACCTGGGGCTCGCCCACGACGCTGCGATGACCACGGTCGCAATGCAAGAATCGCGACCGCGACGACACACCGAGGTGAACCGATACGAGAGTAGGGAAAGGGTGAGCTTACCGGGCAGTCTGCTTGGTACGGGCCATTGTTAATGGATGTGATTGATGTTTGATGAGAAGTGGTGGTGTTGTGGAGTTGTAGATGAAATGGGTGTGGATGGAGTGGCGGTGGATGGATGTTGTGTGTGGATGAAGAAAGGAAGTGGGAGGAAGTGGGAGGCAGGATTATTTGTATGCGCTGGACGCTAGCGAGTGATTGCCTTAGCGCGGGGGGGGGCGGCGCTTTGGGAAGGAACGGCTTCGAAATACGCTGCGATTGCGCGTTGCGAAATCAACGTATTTACCAGCCAATCAGGAGCGAGCAGCTTGTGTTTTTTAATGTTTGAGCAGCCGAAGCGACCGGGTCCGGGGACACGCCGGGCTTGCCACTGCCGTTTTTAGTAATACATCAGGTGGCGTGACTCATCTTTGATTCTCGGCGTGCCCCGAAGATCGATATCAATTGTATGGTGTACATGTACAGTTCTACTCAATTCTAACCTAACTAGAAGGATACAGGCAGGCAGGCAACTTCGTAAAGTGAAGTGCTCCATCGTAGGTGCCTAGATCTACAGTTGCATCGCACCAATTCATGTCACATGATTTGCGACACTCTTCCATGCAGTATCTCCACCTGGCACCTGGGGGATTCTGGAGATTCTGTACCTACAGTAGATTCTGCATCCGCCTTCTCCTTCTCGCTTCGCCAATCAGCGGGCGCCTCTTTGTTGTGGTCGCGCGTGTCGCTTTGGGCTTAGCGTGTCCTCGCTAGCTGGTGATTGCGGCCGGCCGCCCGTGGCGCGTCGAGTGGTCAAAGACGTACATTATACTCCAGACTCCATGCTCTGCCTATAACCTCTACTCCACTACCACCATCTATCTATCTCACTCTCAACCCACAACTCCCACGTCCAACCCCATACTCTCTATATACCCATACACACAACACATACCCGCTTCCCAACTCAAATCTATCATCATGACTGGACGTAAGTACCCTCCCCCCATTTCATCTTCTCTCAGTGCCCTGCGCGTCTCCCGCCTTGCTGCAACAACAAACAAACTGACGCGTAACATCACAGGCGGAAAAGGTGGCAAGGGCCTCGGCAAGGGTGGAGCCAAGCGTCATCGCAAGATTCTTCGTGACAACATCCAAGGTATCACAAAGCCTGCTATCCGTCGTCTTGCGCGTCGTGGTGGTGTCAAGCGTATCTCAGCCAGTATGTGCCCCCTATCCTAAGGTGCAACAACCAGGTCCATCGTCTGTATCTAACCCATCAACAGTGATCTACGAAGAAACCCGTGGTGTCCTCAAGACCTTCCTCGAGGGTGTCATTCGCGACGCGGTTACATACACAGAACACGCCAAGCGCAAAACTGTCACCTCGCTCGATGTTGTCTACGCCCTGAAGCGACAGGGTCGGACGCTGTATGGCTTCGGTGGTTAGATGTTTGGTTATCACGGTTCTTGCATGTCTATTATGAATTTCTTCCTCGGTTTGGTGGAAGATGGTGTGCTATGGGATGGGCTTTGCTTTTCGGGCTTTTCGGACGGTGTTCAGTTGTATCATAGGGGATATGCGGCATGGGTGGTAGTCCATGAGATAATCAATCCACCATCGACATTATGACTTCAAACATTTAACTCCCTCTGCTATTGTCTGTAGTCCGGTTTCCTTCCGCTCGTATTCCCACTGCTATTTGCGTGTGTAACACCGCTGCATGCTGGTTACGGTCTTGCGGTATCGTTTCTCGTGTTCATTCCGCATGTTGCAGTTCTCGAACCGCATCCTACGCAGTCGCTTGACTAGTCCTCCTTGCCATATTAAAGATTGTGAGGCGCCTGTATGTGACACCCCTACGAACTCGTGGCTTACATTGAGCCGTCTATTAACGTGCCTAACGTCACGGTATAAGTTCGTCATCGTCACTATCAATTTAATACTCTCCCGAAGCTAGGATTTGGGTAATAACTTGAACTTCAAGGCCCTCTACACTGATACGTGTATGCCTTACTCAACGACTTCAAGTTAACAATAATACCTCTCTCTAACTAGAGACTTCAGTCTAAACTTAGAGGCTTGTAGACATACCTAGTATAAGATAGTAAATATTAGGATGCTATTTTATTTAATAATAATAATAGTATAGTTTTATTATTTCTTATATTTTAAATTATCAAAGCTTTTATACTTAATCTACTATAATATTATATTTAAATATATTATTCTCGAATAATTACTTAGTAGATTTAATAAATAATATTAATAATATACTTAAAATATACTTAATAATTAACTCTTATTAAGTTATAGAAATAGATAGTAAGTTAAGCTTAAGCTTAGTAGCTAGATTAGTTACCTCGTAGATATACGCGAATAAACAAAATTACTATATATAATTCAACTACCAGATCTTATAATTATTAAGTCTCTTAATTGCTATTATCTAAGTGCGCGCTAAATATTTGTTAGTTATTTCATATACATTTCCTCCTAGTATTTATAAGGAACTATCCTGCTCCTCGACAATACTGTAGTATATCTATGATTCTGATTTTGTAAGCTTGAAAAAAAGTTTAAGCTGTAAGTGTTGTTATTGAAATCCTTCTATTCTCGGCATATATATATTTAAGCCTGCTACAATGTGAAGCCCTTAATATCCCCAGCTTTCTAGATACTTCAAAATATTGGTTTGGATGCTTGCCTGTATCTCGTCAACCTTCTCAGGTTCCATGTGTGCTATCCAACGAGACATGAAAAAGTATGGAGGGGCGACGTCTTCAAGGAACCATCTTAAGGCGGCAAGCTCCCCTGCACCCGGAATGTCCGTCGGTCTTAAAACCCCAGCACGAACAAACTCCTTGTCCATCATATAGGCAATTTCAAAGTTCAGCTTTTGGCCGTTTTCCGGAAGTGCCTTGCTATCGAAACCACGAAGAAGGCACTGGCGAAGGTCTCCAAACTCGCCCTTCTCAAATGGCCCTACAAGCAAAGAACCAACAGATCGGAATGAACAGAAATACTCATCTACTGGGGAGCCGATAAAAGATAAATCGAAATCAAGAAGGGCAGTTAACCGGTTAGACGTGGGATCAAACAACATATTGAATAAATCTAGATAGATGGTCAGCCTTGGTCTATATTCCACGATGTAGCTGAGAAAAAGACGTACTAAAGTCGCCGTGAACCAAAGTCGGGCGAGCCACTGAGTTTTTCACCACCTCATTTTTCATTCCATTTGCCGCAAAGGACTCTAAACGTTCCCTGAGGTTAGTCGAGCGCCAGCCAGCAAGCCGCTCCGAAGTGTCAGATTCGGCCAGCTGCCGACGCATCATCTGCAAGTACATATCCTGGAATTCTGGAAACGGCCCACCGCATGGGATCGCGGTCGGCCCAGTGATAATTAGGCCGGATTCACCGAAGCCAACCCCCCCGTAGCCTTTGACTGATTCGGGGAGAGAGTAGCTCTGGATCAGCTTGAACACGTCAGCGATCTGACGAAGAATATCTTCCTTTGGAGTACGGTCTAGGCTTTCGAATTCCTTGTCGATTTGGGTACCTCCCATATACTCCTGAAGGATCCATCCGTACCCCTCCGCCGATGACGGAGACCAAGCATAAACGTTGGGAATCAGTGCATCTTGGTAGGTAGAAAGAGCCAGTCTCATCAAGCACATTACAGCGACCTCATTCTGTACACGAATATCTTCATTGAGCATTGCATCGGGATGGGATATCCGAATGACGACTTTGGTAGTGCCTGTTGGTAGGCTCGAAGTTCCAGGCTGCTGAAGCACGGGCACAGATAATACTGGCTGAGAGACGGATTCTGCGAGCTCAGCGAGGTGGACAAAGTTGTTTGAGTCCCGACCAAGATTACGAATCGCTAACACCTGCAACGGTTTAATGTCAGATGAATATCGAGGTGGCGCGCAAGTTGACAATGTACCTGACGTCCCAACTCTTGCTGTAACAAATTCACGATAAAATGCTTCCTATGCTCGAGGCTGTAATCCGGGGTGGGTGCCATGCTGAACAGCGCGGAGGAGAGTGGAATACGAACGCCGGATGTCGGACGAAGTGAGAGGGAATTCAGAGGAAATGAGGGGCCAATGGAAAAGGGGCTCGTTAGTCGACCCAAATAAACTTCACTCCGTCGAGTGACGTTTAACAATCAACTGTTTCGGAGCGGCACTTTAATCGACGAAGTTGTTAAGTAAGGAAAAAGTTTAGAGATTAAGAAAGAAAAATATATATATAAGATATACTTTTAAAGTTATATAAAATTCGAAGTTTAATAATCTACTAGTAGCTCTTAATATTAATAATTTAGTATTTCTTTAATTTAATTTATTATTTATATTTATTCTTTTAATATCTTCTATAAATTAAAGATAATAATAAATTAATATATTTTAAAGATATTTATTTATTTATTTTAATATATTTTATAAATTAAAAGTTCTGATTTATTTATTTGTTTATTCTTTTTAATATATTTTAGAAATTGAAGATTATAGTAGAACAGTTAGAACTCTAGAGTTCCAATAAGTTAATAGTAAATATACTAGTGAAAGTTAATATAATCTGGAGATAGTAAAAACTAAGTTTTAGTAAATAATTGATTGATTGATTAATTATTCTTTTTAACATCCTTTATAAGTCGAAGACTATAGTAGAACAGTTAGAACTAAAACTCTAACAAACTATTTTAAATACAAGATTGAGAGTCAATATAGTCTGGGGACAGTGAGAGCCTAGCTTTAGTATAAACAACGTTATATAAATGAAAAACAGCAAAATAACCGAAATATTTGACTATAGTACTATATTAAGTTACTCCTCCCCTGTTCTCTCTAAGTACTACTACTTCGTTACAATCCTAATCTCTTTTAAGAAGTTAATCGTCACTACTATTCCGACTTTAGTATATAATAGTACAAGTAAAATGAATTTAACTCTTCTAAGTTCTGATTTGAATATCGATCTAGCTTTTTTGTACTCCGAATAACTAAAGAGTAAGTATTCAGAAATCTCTCTTTTACTATATTAGTATAAATTACTACTAGAGTAGTTTAGTTTAAATAAATACAATTTGAGATATCTGCAGTTTAGTTTGAACTAATAAAAAATACTAGTTATTTCCTTTTTCGTATTAAGTAGAATTGAGAACTTTACTTCTATATTACAAATAAATTTGTAGATATAGTTATTTATATTAGAATTAAATTTATTTATTATATAATTATTTATATAATTTAACTATTCTGTTTTATAAATTCTTTTGATTTTCATTTTTAAATAAATGACACTAGTATTATTAAAACTAAACTCTTCAAATATAGCTCGTTTTCTTTGATATCAATATATTCTAGAACCTAAACTAGCTCGATATTAGCCCTTTTTTAGATTATTACTTTAGTAGTCTGAATAACTCTGATTTAATTGTTTGTTTATTTGTTTATTCCTTTTAACGTCCTTTGTAAGTCGAAGACTATAGTAGGACAGTTAGAGCTACAGCTCTAACAAGTTAATAGTAAATACAATAGTGATAGTCAATGTAATCTGGGGACAGTGAAGGCCTAGTCCTAGTTAAAACAACGCTGTACAAATGAAAAAACAGTAAAATGACCAAAACACTTGACTATAATACTGTATAGTTAAGTTACTCCTCCTCCGCTCTCTCTAAGTGCCACCGCCTTGTTACGATCCTAGTCTCCTTTAAGAAGCTAATCGTCGCCGCTATTCCGACTTTAGTATATAATAGGAGAAGTAGGTTGAGCCTAACTACTCTAAGTTCCGATTTAAGTGCTGATCTAGCTCCTTTGTACTCCGAACAGCTAAGGAGCAAGTGTTCAGAGGTCTCTCTTTTACTGTACCGGCATAGATTGCTATTAGAGCGATCTAGCCTAAATAGGTACGATTTGAGATATCCGTAGCCTAGTTTGAGCTGATAAAAGGCACTAGCTATTTCCCTTTTCGTATTAGGTGGAATTAGGGGTCTAGCTCCTAATTTCCAGATAAACTTGCGGGTATAGCTATGTGGATTCGAATTGGGCTTATTCCTCGTATAGTTAGTTAAATAACTTAACTACTCAGCCTTGCGAATTCCCTTGATTTTCATTCCTAGGTAGGCGAAGCTAGTACTATTAGAGCTAGGCTCTTCAAGTGTAGCTCGCTTAGCTAAGCGATCGGCAAGCTCGTTTCCTTCGATATCAGTATGCCCTGGTACCCAAGCTAGCTYGATACTAGCCCCTTTTTGGATTGCCGCTTCGGTAGCCTGAATAGCCCTGATTTGGCAAGCTTGGCCGGGGTTATCGCTGGGTGTTTTCAGGCAGTGTAGGCCGGCTTGGTTGTCGGAGTAGATCCGGTATTTCTGCCCGGGTTATAGCTATTGAACTAACGTACTCAATAGCTTGCGTAACCCCTTCAAGTTCTCCGTTGTAGACTAACTGTTCGGCTCCAATATTAACTATACTACTGTACTGAGTAAGTATAGTTATATTCAGTAGGATCTACTAGTACTTACTCATAACTGAACTACTCAACTTTTTTCGACGAAAATCAACCTCCTGCTTTCGGCCCAAAAACCACTTATATCTTCGAAGAATACTCTATTCGTCCTATTTATCGCTTTATATATCTTTATATAAGCGTTGAGTAGGATGGAATTGAGTTCGGATCCGTCGACTCCTACCCAGGAGCTCCTCCAGGAGCCCTCTCAGGAGCTCCCGCCCCTCCCAGCGCCCCGGAACTTCGTCGATTCGGATCAAACAGAGCAGGCGCCTAGCCCTAGCCCTAATATACCCTCAATTCAAGTTATATCGACTCCAAAGGACATTTCGCAAACTCAATTCGACTTCTTTTCCAGCGACCCTTTGGCCTCCGCTCCTGAGATCGAAAATTTTTTCGTTCCTAGCCCAATTCGGAAGCGACCTAGAGCCTCACCACCCCCTGAAAGTGCTGTACGCAAAAGGGTTCCTGTACTAAGCCGCGGAGACCGCCCGGCTACTATAGGCCCCGATACCGACCGCCCGGCCAACTTAAACTCCGACTCCGACTTCGATTTTGAATTCGAATATACCCGAGCTTCCGGGACCCCCCGAGCCTCCAGCACTACTACTACCCGTACCGCCGGTACAGCGATACTTGAAGCTAGAGACCTGATTATCGAAGCCTACAGCCTCACCAAAGCCCGTACCGAACAAGTAAAGCTCCTAGACCTACTCGAGGTCTTTAGAGAATTCACTGAACACGGCCACCTCCAAAAAGCATCTAAAATCATCTCCTCCCAGATTTCAAATCTGGAATCGGCGACCCGGCAGCTCGAAGCTAAGTCACGTGACCTCTCACGTGCTACCGGCCCCACCCGCACCTCCGGCCCCACCGGCCCTACTAGCTCTGCCCCTGAATCCGATCGGTTAAGTAAAAACTTAACTATACGCTCAAACACTCCCAATTCCTCCAATTCGACGTTAAGTAACAACTTAACTATACCGTCCTTTGCAAGTGTTGCAAATCAAGGCTCCGGAGCCCCAAAAACACCCCAAGAATGGACCTTAGTTGGCAGAAAGCTTAAACTTACCTCACCGCCTAAATCGGAACGATCTAGCCCAAATAGGCTTATCGTTACACAAACCCCTGGAACTACTACTTCGTTCTCCCCCCTAGTAGCCCGAAATGCTCTAAATAAAGCTTTTACAGATAAAGGGATCAAAGGCCCTGTAGTTATTTCAGTAACTAGATCTCTGAAAAGGAATCTAGTTATTACAACTACACCTAACTATACGGCCGATTTCTTGATCGAAAAAAGAGCTATTTGGGAGCATATAGTGCCTAATCAGGCACTATATAAAGATGAGCTTTAGTTCAAAGTAGCTATCCACGAGATCCCTATTGCCGATTTCAATACCCCTGAGGGCATAGCTTTAATTATTGACGAAATCAAAACTTTCAATACTAGCCTGAACCCAATTGGAACGCCTTATTAGCTTACGCCTAAAGAACGCCGGCAAAATCAGCTAGCTGGCTCAATAGCTCTTTCTTTTGCCACAGAACAGGAAGCTAATAGAGCTATTCGGAATAGGCTCTATATAGCTGGGATAAGTGTACAGGTTGAAAAGCTCTATATTACTACTCCTACTACGCAGTGTACTAAGTGCCTAGGCTTTGGGCACTTGGAAAGCTATTGTAGAAAGGCTCCTACGTGTGCTTTCTGTGCTGAAAGCCACTCAACTAGGCAGCACTATTGCCCTAGCTGTAAAACTACAGGCAAAAAGTGCCTACACCTAGCTCCTAAGTGTGCTAATTGCAAAGAAGCTCACGTGGCCACGGATAAGGCCTGTGAAGTGCTCCTGGCACTCAAATCCAAAGGCTCTAATACTCGAACTATATGATTAGTTCTAGTATTAAAGTCTTACAAGTGAATTTGAACTGTAGCGCCGAAGCTACAGAGAGTGCTCTACAGCTAGCTGTAGAGACTAAAGTGGATATATTACTTGTTCAAGAGCCTTGGCTAGTCCCAGGCAATACCCGCTCAGTACTCCACCCCAGCTATACTCAAATTCTGCCGAAAACTCACCTACGGCCACGAACGCTAGCTTATATAGCTAGGGGGTTTAGGCCCTCTAGCTGTATAGCTAATACTTCACCAAACGACCCGGATCTACTTGTTTTAGATATTTCGGAGGCAAACGCAACTATTCAACTCTTTAATATCTACAATGAGCAGGATTTAGGCGATTCGGGCTTACGTACAGTTAATCGGGTACTTTACTCTAGGGCCCTAGGCCCTAATACTGTACTAGCCGGAGACCTTAATATCCACCACCCCTGGTGGGATCCGTTAGCACCTATTACCTCTCCTGGAGCCGAAGAGCTAGTCGATTGGATCGAATCCAATAGCCTAGAGCTATTGAACACCCCTGGCACAGGTACCTTTTTCAGACCCCATATGACTAGAGAAAGTGTCCTAGACCTTACTTTAGTCAGCCCAAGCTTAGCTAGCAAAATCCAGGACTGGATCGTACTCCCGGATCTCGGATCGGATAACTACAGTATTAGCTTCACTATTGCCGGCAATACTAGACCGCTAGTCGATAATCCAAGCCTAGCCACCGCCTATAATACCGACCTAGCCGATTGGAACCTATTCTCAGAGAAGCTGAAATCCGGTATAGTTAACTGTATAGCTCTCAATTCACCTGAATTGACAACTATACAACTTAACTATACGAACTCTTTAGCTATTCTCTAAGAAGAAGAGAGTAGTATAGCTATTGCTAAGCTACTGTAAAGACTTGTATGATAGGGAATCACGATCGGTAGTAAACACTTGTATTATTACACAAGCTAATTTCTAACCCTCTCTAAAGGGGGGGGTTGGTCCTTTTTTTTAAGTCGGAGTGCTACGGTCACGAGACAGCGCCTAACCTGTTCCGCCAGCTAGTTTCGGCTGTAGTATATTTAAACGACCTCTTTCGCTGATCTTGTGACTTTCTTCGGGTACTCCCCCTGACAGGGGTATACGTTCCTGACATGACCCCCCTCTCTAGAACTCTTGTCCCCAAGAGTTGGAGTAGGTCGGAGTCGTACTAATAAGTGTTCGCATTGCCCTTTCAGGTGTTATAACCTGATAGTTCTACTGTAACAATTACTCTTAGCTAGCTAAGCGACAGAGACAATAACTAAAGCGCTCTTCTTGTAGAAGCTCCAGGGCGCTTTCGTATAGTCCAGCTATTGTAGCGAGAGTAGTGAATAGCTTCAATAACAAAGACAATAGTAAAGACTAATTGTAAGTCGACAATAGTAACAAAAAGCTTAGGAGTATATATTCAGGCTTCCTTCTCCGAACTACTTCCTTCTCTCCTTTGCTTACAACTGCAACTACAACTGTAACTACAACTATAACTACAACTACAACTACAACTACTACTACTACTACTACGATGTTTAGTGTCTCCGGTACAGCTCCGGCCCCTTTCGTCCCCGCTGCCCCCTCGCTGGCCCGCTGTCTCTGCTTATATTGCGCTAAATATATAACTACTAAAACTTATATAGTTTGTAACTTTAATATAGTTAGTAACTATAAGTATATTTACTGCTGAGCTTAGAAGTCTATTTATTTCTTAGTATTATTCATATTCGAGACTTCTCTGTTTCGGGTCTGTTACTAACTAGCTTTAGATCTCCTAAGTCCTATCTATTTGTAAGTATAAATTTCTACGCTTCTAGTATATCTATAATAGTTCTATCTCGGAAAAGAAACAGGCCCAAGTCTTCCCCGCTATCAAGAAAGTCTCCGAAGAGATCAAAGTCCAGGCCGAAGCTTTCCTGAAAGAGGAGGCACTTCCTAAAAGTACTAACACTGTCGCTCTCGCTTACTTAGAGGAGACGAAGAAGACCAACTTCTTTCTAGAAGAGTTAGTATATTTTACGTATTTGTAAGTAAGTTTTTTCGATTCTTCTTTATCTTAGTCTACGTTTATTTCTCTTTTTTTTTCTTTTAAACTAGCTTGCCCCCCCCCCTGTTACTGACAACGACGACGACGACGATAAAAACTCCGATTCGGAAGAGTTCTCCTCTTCCGAGGAGGAGGAAGAAGAGGACGTGTCTAGTTCCGAGTTTAAAATAGAAGAAAAGGAGAGTAAAGAGAATAGAAGTAATAAAGAGATAAGTGAAGTAGAAAGTAAAGAAGAGTAGATTCAGTAAAATATCGGTAATACTAGCGTTTTGTTCTTTTTAGTTCCTAGAACTATTTTTTTTAGATAGAACATTCTCTTTGTTTTTCTTTTCCTTTGTTCTTCTCCTTCTTTAAATAAAATAGTTCTCTAGAATCAAGTTATTTTCTCTGTTCTCATTCTAGTCTTCTTATATATAATTTCTTTCTAATTCAGTTCTTACCTTTTTGGAAACTTGATTTATATTAGTTTGTAATAACGTCGTAGCAAGCTAGAACGAGTCGAAAGCGATTCGGAATAACTATTTAAACTCGATCTTATTCTTGTTCTCTCGTTTTTCTAGTTATTCGATTTATACTACAAATACTAAACTTAGTAACTGACAATATAAAAGTTTAGTTCCTTAATGTCACAGTATACTAGAACGAGTCGAAAGCGATTTAGAACGACTATTTAAACCCGATTTATAGTAGTTCTTATTTCTACTTTCTTTTCCTTCTTTAGAAGTACTTAATTCGTTTTACTTTATAGGAATACTATAGTATATCGGAGTAAGTCGAGAATATATCAGTAAGTTTATTTCCTTCTTTTTCGTAGTCTTTCTTTTTTCTTCGGAATTATAGCTGAAATATCTTATAAATAATCTTAGATAAAGTCAGTAATATTCTGAAAGTTCTCTTCGAACTTCTATATATTATCGGCTAAACTATATCCTTTTTACTAGACGAAGTATTTTTTACTTTTTACTAAGTCTTTATAAACTTATATAAACTTAACTTTATATTCTTCTTAATCTTGGATTTAGATTAGTAATAGTTCGACTTCTTTGTTTTTTCGTCTTTTTTATAGTTCTAATAAAGAAATATAGAATATATTATAAATTTAGTAACTTGAAAGTAACTTAAGTTAATATATTTATTTATAGTTATTAATTATTTCTATTATTTCGAAAAAGTTTAAGAATTTATCTAAAAGTTTCTTACTAAACTATAATTAGTATATATTCTTAGTAATAAATATAACTTATTCTTTGACTTTAAATTAAATTACTTTATATTTCCTATTATAAAACTTCTTATATAAGTCGGTTATAACTCGGAGAATAGTCGCAAGTACTTTTCGTTCTTCTTCAAATATTCTAATTCTCTCGGCTACAACTAACACTTTTCTTTCTAGAACGTCGTCTCCGACATTCGTACTGAGTTCTAAGTCGAAATTATAAAGTAATTAGAATAGAGTCGAATTCGTACTAATATAAATTAAGTTATTATAAATGAACTCAGCGAATATAAATTTAAAGATTTAATTATCTTACTTATAATTATAGTATATATAAAAATAAAACTCTAAAGTTTAGTTCTATCTTTCCGTTTAATTATTTATTTGTAGATAATACGTAATATTAAACTACTATTATACTTAAAAGAACTATATTAACGTTCTTTAGAATTTACTTGTAAAAACTAAGTTTCGATTATTTGTAATACTTTTTAGTAATCTGAAATCTCTATAGATATAATAGATGAATAAATCTGCGAGTTTAGTAATATCGATTATCTTCTATACTAATATATATTAAACTAACTTCGTGAATTTGTCGACTATAATTAAAATAGAGTTATATATTTAGTTATATTTCTTATTTAGAAGTAAATCTATAATAAAGTCTATAGTTATCTCTTTTTACAATTTATTTGAAATAGAAGTTGAAGTTAATTTATTATAAAGCTAATATTATTTCGTCTTTCTTCTTTAGTATTCTGAGTATATTTTAATATATTCTTTAATATCTTTTCGAAAATTTTACTAGAAATATTTCCGACGAATTAGTTCAAAAGTCTATCTTACTTTAAAATAGTTTACTAACTCGCTATTATAATAAATATACAGAATCTTACTTTATATAACTTTTTCTAAAAGAATATATATTACTTCCTAGAATCTCAGGAGATTATTACTATTTCGATCTTATTATTTCTCGGACTTAGTTCGCTAAATCGTCTTCGTTAATCGATAGTTCCTTTGAATTATAAAAGGATCTTTTCTCTGTAATTCTAGGAAAGTATATCGAATCAGCTCAGATATTCTTTTATATACTATTTCAGCCGATAGTAATATAATTACTACTTTCTATAGTACACGTTATTTGTATTTAGTTATACTAGTAATAAACTCAAATAGTAGACTTTTAACTACTACTATATTACGTTCTTAAATAGTTTATAACTTTTATATATATAATCTCTAATTAAACTCTGACAACTTATTAGTCTAGAAATATTTAAACTTTATATCAAATACGCCTAACTTTATTAGTATATATAACTCGTTCAACTTTGCAATTCTCAACTTATTATATATCAGGAACGTATACCCCTGTCAGAGGGAGTACTTGAAAGAAGTCACAGAATTAGCGAAAAAGGTCGTTTAAATATATTATAGTTGAAACTAGTTAATAGAATAAGTTAGATATTATCTCGTAACTATAATGTTCCGATTTAAAAAAAAAAAAACTAACTTCTTTTTTAGAAGAAGCTAGAGATTAGTTTATATAATAATACGAGTATTTATTATCGATTGTAATTTTTTATTATATAAATCTTTATATTCTAATTTCTCTATTCTTTTCAGAAGATAGTTCGTCACAAATCAAAGAATATTCGGAACTAACTCGAAATCGACTCAGAAATAGCAAAATCAAAAAGTAAAGAAAGAGTTCAAGGAAATTCCTTGAATTTAAGTAAATACTTTATTACTCGATCTATCGACGAGCTGGAAACGATGACCTTCTAGGAAAGAGGGACTTAAGTAAAAAGAGTAATTTCTGAAAGATCGTAAAGTCTTTTATTTTCTATTGCAAAGAACGAAGAAAACAGTTTCACGGACAAACTCGATTTAGAAATAAGATAAATTGAATAACTCAGCGAATAAATCGAGTAAAAAAAAGAACAAATACAGATTTATAGAATAATTTAAAACTAAATCGAAAAACTCGAAGAAATAGTAAGAACTCGCTAAAAGTTCGAAGAAGAACTCTATAATATCCTAGAAGTAGAAAACTACAAAAGAGATAGTAATAACTTAATACTAAATTAAAAGTATAATAAAACTAATATAGTTAAAAATAATATAATTTAGGAAACAACTATTTATTATCAACTTATTAATATAATAATAAACTAAAAATACTTTATATTTAAAGTTCTTAAAATACTTTTATATAAAAAGAAAAATATATAAAAAATCTAAACTTTTATAATTAAAATAGAAAGATAATTTAAATAAAATAATAAATATTATTATTCGACAAATTAAACTAAAATCGACTTCTATATCTTTTTATTCGAAACGAAACTAGAATAGAAGTAAACTATTTTCGAAAACAAAATAAGAATTAGAACAACTATATAAAATAAATTTAAAGAATTCCTTTTTAATTCTATTATTAATAAAAATAATTGTATTTTTAGTACTACTAATAAATACTAAAGAACTTAGTAATAAGACAGATAATTAGTCGACGACTTCGCTATTTATTTAGACAACTTAGAGAGAAAACTAAGAATTATTAATAACTAATATAAATAATAATCTTTATATATTAAACTATATATAAATATTAAAAAAAAGATTAATTTCTATACTAAGATTCTAAAGAACTAGAAAGTATTCCTAGTACTAGTTCGACGAATAGAGAACTCAGAGAAAGAAAATATTATTCTTACTCGAAATAAGTTAAATTATCGCGAAATAACTAAGAATTTACTGAAATAAGACTACTCCGAGTAGTATTTACGAAATACTAAGTTAAAAAGACTCGAACGACGTTAGAACTCATTTAATAATATAAATCGAACACTTATAAATATCGGGACTAACTCGATTTAAAAAGAATATAAATATTTTCGTTATAAATCTACTTAATATTATTCTTGTTAATACTTTAAAATAGAATATTATAACTACTACGAGAAAAATTATATTTCTACGAATTATACGAAACTGAGATAGATAGGAAATAGACTTATTTAGTTATAATATCGAATATACTTTAATTAAACGAAATAGAAATAAAACAATGAATCGTTATTTCAATCTAATTACGAACTTCCGAGAAAGGAATTATAATAGAATAAATACTAGTAAATAGTAAAGTTAAATAGAATATTATCAAATAGTTTTTAATTACTTAGTAGAACTAACTTCTTATAGATAACAATATTTCTTTAACTTCTGTCGAAAAATAAGAAATTCTCTTTTATAAGAAATATGAACTTGAAGTTAATATTACTAATAACAAAAATATCTCGAGATAGAACTAATATAACTTCGTAATATATAATTTCGATATATTTAATATATCTTTTATTTTAAGATTTCCTTAATTATAGTAAATAGATCTAATTATTACTTAGAATATAAAATAGTAGTAGTACTTTTTCGGAAAAGCTCAGATTCGTTTATTTACAGCGAAATACTTCAAAAAGAAATATAAAAAAAAAGTCGTTTACTATATAGTTCTTAAAATAGTAGAAATAGAAGTAAAAGAACTCTTAGTTCTATATAGAGAATATAAAGACATTTTCGATATAAAAGTTACTAGTATCTTATTAGAACACTATTCTATAGAATATTGAATTAAATTGACGTTTAATTTAGAGTTATTTTAGAACTCTGTATATTCTTTGTCGGAAGTAGAGTTAGCGATCTTGTAAGAATACTTCGAGATAAGTATAGAGAAAAGATAAATACGTTGATCGACAAATTTAGTAAAAACTTCTATCTTATTCGTACCTAAAAAGGAAGAATAAAACTTCTAATTCTACGTCGATTACTAAAGACTCAATATAGTCACGATTAAAAATCGGACTCTTTTACTTTTAATTAACAAGACGTTAGACTAATTATATAAAGCGAAGATATTTACGAAACTCGACTTCAAAAATATATATTACTAAATATAGATAAAAGAAAGAAATAAGTAGAAGACAGTGTTTCGGACTTAATATAACTACTTCGAAT